CAAAGAATTCCTTTACTTTCTTTCCAATATGTGCCCAAGCAATCTCCACCCTTTTTAGCAATTCTGGGTCTTCTCTTTTTTTGAGAAACATAGGTTCAACCTCCTTGGTTGTGGGTGGACACCTCATGGCATAACCTAATTGGCAAAGAGAGAGTACCGGATTGTAGTTGATAACCCCTCTGGTTCCCATGAGTGGAACATTAGAGAAACCTGCACAGTGGGAGATGACTTCGGAGCTATCCACCTTAAGTTTGTACCATTGAATGTCGAAAGAGGTGAGTGTCATCACTTTTGATGCCCATGAGCGAGGATCTTCTTTGAATGGCCCTTTGGTGGGTAACTACGCCATGAACCATTTGTAAAGCATTGGTATACAACATACCACTACTCCTTTCTTCCCATGCCTGGAGTGGATAGCGTGGTAAGTATCTGCTAATAGTGTAGGTATAGGATTCTTATTCATGAAGACGCACAGAGAAGCCAAGTCCATGATTTCTTTAATCTCAGGAAATAAGACAACTCCGTAAATAATGGCGGCCAACAGAGCATAATAAGCATCCCAATTTCCCATATTTGCCATTTCCTTAGCCTTATTTGCCAAAAAATCTGTAGGAAGACCGGAAGTGACTTTGTTGCGTCTCCATTTTCCTTTTACATCGTTAAGGCTAAAATAAAGAACCTTAGCAATAGCCTCAAAATCAGGTTCAATAGGGATTTGAACAAATGGAACATGGCCGGTGAGCTTAATATGGAGAAGATGAGCATACTCCTCAAGAGTAGGTGCTAACTGGTAGTCTTGGAATGTGAAGCATCTCAACTCTGGATCATAAAATTGTAACAATGTATGTACAGCCTTGTCGTTAACCCGAGCATCCAGCAAAGATAGGAGATTCCCATATCTTTCACCAAAAATGCCCATTTGTTGACAATTCATGAGGTCCCTGAGCTCTTCAAGAGAGGGCCAAGTACTAGGACGAAACTGATAGCTGAAGTTATCCCTCTTCGTCTTCAGGGTGACATCAGTGTTGTTCGCCATTCTTTGGAGGAAAAGGAAACCCTGGATAGATCCTGGAAATGACAATGCATATGCGAATTAATTATTGATATATATATATATATATATATATATATATATATATATATATATATATATATATATATATATATATATATATATATATATATATATATATATATATATATATATATATATATATATATATATATATATATATATATATATATATATATATATATTTGAAAGATAAATATGCATATGATGTGTGTGCAAGTGATCATGGGGTTACTACTTCCATGATATTGATTTCTGTTGTACTGCCTCTTCGTATCCTTGTCAATACCGAGATTACAGGTCTGAAATGTAACTTGAAGAGGACTATGAAGATCAAAGATAAGTCCTCAGAAAATAAATCTGAGAACCTCATAACTGTTGGCAGAAATGCAGGACATAACCAAAAGTAATCATCTGAATATAGTCACCAACCGTACCTGTAATGATAAATCCCTCCCCACTCACGTGTGAAGACTAGGTCAGGGTGAGATAATGGTAACTCGAAAATCACGGGTCCGCCTGAAAGTAAAATCATCATAACACAGACGTGCATGATGAAAGTACCTTCAATTGAACCTCCTTCGAGCGTGGTATATGACATGACTGCACTAATCGGACCACGTCCTATAGCCGTCATGCCCCCACTCTATTCCTAGGTGTCCTAGTGCACTCTGGCCTAGGTACTGGGCCTTTTACCTCAATAGTAACATTCACACCCAAGCAAGAAGTAGATACAGTACAACAGCAGTATATGGAAGGCAGTAGAGTGTAATACATGCATATGCACAGGTATATTTAAAAAATGAACGAATGAACTGAAAGCATAAAAAAATAAACACCCTAAGAATAGAAATCAAGAGCTAGGAGCGACTCCGGGACGGACCAGCGTTTGGTCGACCTATTCCCCAGTGAAATCGCCAGCTGAAACAACCGGCTGGAAATCATCAAAACAATGAAGTCTCCATCGAACGTCTTTTATCCCACATGTAGGGAAAGGTAAACATCGAGAAAACCTGATGAGGGAGAAGTCACGGTCTTGCGACCGAGAGATCGGGTAAGGGAGTCTGTTACGCGAGGGGAAGGTATTAGCACCCCACACGCCCGTAGTACTCTACGGTATCCACTCTTGTTATCTATCTTATGGGTGTGTTTAATCTATGCTTACTGTTTACTATACTACTAAAGGGAATGCATGCAAAAGAAAAGAGAAAAGAATGTAGGGAAAATAAAATTGTTGTGCTCGCTTGGGCCCTACCCCAATGCCTACGTATCCCTTTTAAGGAATCAGAGCAGCCGTAGTTCGGCTTATATGTTTTTGTTTATTTGTATTTTTTACTGAACAATATTAATTTCTCCTTCTGCCGCAACTCGACCGTTGGAGACTTACACGTCATCACAGAAGTGAATTAACATGCTCTTCTGAAAAGTTTGGAAAGAAATGTGCCTGGACGCACAAAATGTTTTGAATTCGTTTGTTTTTTGAATGAACGATAGTGATTTCGCCTTCTGCCGCAACTCGACCTTTGGAGATTTACGCGTCAGCACATAAGTGAATTAACACACTCTTCTGAAAAGTTTTTGAAAGGAAGGGCCCGAAGGCAAAAAGAGTTTGTATTGGTTGGTATTTTTGCTTGTAAATAATAGCTAGTTGATCTCAAGAGAGAGATTTTAGCCATGTCTCTACTTATTCATGAAATGAGTCTTTGAGACTTGAACCATACCAAAGCTTAGAACAAGAGAATAATAAGGTCGAGAAGAAACCCGCTTATCATCTCTCAAACTTAGCCAAGACGTGGTTCTTGTCAGTAAATTTCCCCTTTTTTGTATTTTTGAAGTTTTTGTAAAAAAAGAAAATTTTCTTATTATAAATGCATATGCGAAAAGGGAAAGAAACGTTATAGGGAGACTAGCCTAAACCTGATTCTATCACACTTCATATGATCTATGGGAAAAGATAAATGCGAGGTAAAATAGAAAGAAAGTATACCAAACGGATACTAGCCCGTAAAGCAAAGTAGAAAAAGCAAAGATACTTGATGTTCTTGCGAGCTGCTAGCACCAACAAAGAAAAGAGTCAGAAACCCCATTACTGAAGCATCTTTTAATGTGAAAATGAATCACAATCGGCATCTCGAACATATCCATATAAAAACCTGCATAAGACTCGAATCTTGACGAGCAAAGTGAATTACCAGTTTCGAGTAACCGAATAATTATGAATTAATTTCCAAAGGCAAAATAATAAAAAGAATATAATAAGTTCTCCTCTTTTTTTTTTTGTTTTTTGATTTAACTATTTGAAATAACAATTAAATAAATGAATAATAATAAAAGGAGAAAAAGAAATAACAAAATTCCAAAACGACGACGTTTGCTGTAAACGACCCCTTCCAGCTCCTTTACACAGAAAGCCTTTCTTCTACATGTCGACAACAACAATGGCGGTGCCGCCATGACTCCACCCCTTCTCCCCTGTTCCGATTCAACTTTCTTGTTAACACCACCTAACGTCTCCCTCTGAATTCGATTCCTTTGCTTGCTTTTGTCAATTTCTCTTCCTCTATTCCGAATCTAACAACGAAACTTAAGCTCTACATTTCTTCCGGTCAAGATTACATGGTGGATTTATCATTCGCCGCATTTTATCCTTCGCGGTTATGGTACAGACCAAGCAAAAAAAAATCGTAAAAAGAAGAAGATTGAGAATTACCTATCGAAGGCACGTTGGTAGCGCTTCGGAAATCCAGAGGTGAAGTAATACAGTTATTTTTTTTCTTGATCTTGTTTGCTTCGTCTTGATTCTCTCCTCACTGTCTTCACTTTTCTTTGGTCTGGGAGTTGCGTGCGTTGGCGATAGGAGAAGAGCGGAAATGATGACAATTATGAAGATTATCGCGAGTTGAGAAAAATGAACTTTGTATGATGAATCAGAGAGAAGTGAAGCTTTGAGAACTAACTGGAGGTCGAACAATGGAGAGTGGAGGCGAAGACGGAGTTTAGAGAGGGGAATTTGAAGATTATGAGAGTTCAGAAAAATTGAGAGTGAATGATGGAGAGGGAAGAAGTTGTTTTGAAGCTGATACAATGATGAAGTTCTGAAACTGGAAAAGAGAGAGTGGCCTCGTCCCCTCAAAACTTGGAGGGGGTTTGGATTATATAGGTAGTTGAGGGAGGAAACGGTTATGTGGGAATCAATCTGAACCATTGATTTGGATAGAGTTTGTTAGGGATTGAAGGGTGAGATTGAGAGTTGGTTACAAGGTGGTTATGCTAGTTGGGAATTCTGTTTGGAGGTAGTTAGAGAGTTATAAAGTTGTTAGGAGGAGATTGATGAGCTGTTAATTTGGACACAACCTGTCTAAGTGCATAATCAAGCATCCATATAATTTTTAACTATTATGTGATCAGTTACAGAAGAATGTAGAAAGCTGAGAATTTAAAGTACAAAGCAAAATTACACAAATAATACAGGCTATAGAGGCTTTTTAAAGCGCTAAGCATTTGTTATCTGCAACCAAATGTTAAAGATCTCAAACAATAACGTAAGACCAATAGGTTGCAGTGCAGCAAGAACTTTGACAAGCTCCATCTTATTGCTAGAAAAAGCATTGGGTTAATTCAGGATCAACAGAGGAAGGGGTTGTAAACACTTCCCAACTTAGTATGTAGTGGACAGCGATCACTTCAGATTTTATGTCACGGTTGACATAAACGTGCATACTTTCGCATGAAAATAAGCAAGATAAGCTCCTCTGCTAAAATATATAGTTTCTTCTCTTGTCACATTTTAACCTTTTGGCAAAGCAGCAAATCTGAAAAGTGATTGGCATAAAAAGTTACTGCTGCTCATATTGCTCAAGCAACTTCCTGACTCTCAAACACAGATGTTACAAGGGTAGACTGAACTGAACCCCTTTTAGTGCACAAATCAAGTTGACATGAGAGAAACCATTGCTTCCGCAGATTCTGGTCCATCATTATTCACACTTGGTGTAATGTTATTGGGAGACACAAAATTTACAAACTCTTTGAGTTCTGTAAAGCTGGAATGCTCACTGTAAGGAACTTCATACCTTATAACAGTACCCTGCTGCCACCTTCTTCCAGGAGACTTCTTTTTACCTTTGCCAAATGTCCAACCAGTAGGAGAGAAAGCAACTATAAGACTGAACCGACTCGCATATTGACTTGATATGTGCTTCAATCTTTTGAAGCTTGCGAGTGTCCACATAGGGGCAACATGAATATTGCTTTCATGCTCATTTGAAGTAAACCACTGCATATCCTCCTCAGTAAATTCTAAACAGTTTAAAAGGCGTAATTTTGCTGTAGTTACGTAAACCTTTTTGCGAAGCGAACGAGCAACCTCCAAGAATAGCCTTTCTTTTCCAATTGTATAGCTGCCAATCAGAAAAAGAGTATTGGGATTAAAAGCTTCCGCTTGAATTGCGTCAATAACAAATTGTATTACAGCCTCTTGTTTTGGAACCACCTTCCCAAGGCCTGTGCCAGGATTCAGTTGTTTATCAACATAGGGAACATGTTCAGTTTTTGATTTCTTAGGAGTTCCAGAACTAGTTTGATCAGCATCTGTCTTACGTTTCAACTTAATATACTTTCTGGTACCTTCACTTGTTTGCTTTTCTCTCTCTTCGGACACATGTCTCTCTTCTATCGTGTTGTTAGACCTGCTGGGATGTTTCATCTTCATTGGTTTAGAATCTGTAGAATGTTGATTCAAGTTTCTATTTTTTCCTGATACTTGAGCATTGAGCTTTCCTGACATTATCTTTTCCTTAAAAACAGGTTTCTTCTTTCCTTGGTAAAGTAACACGTTAGAATTGGACTTTTTGTGATTCAGACCAAACTGTGATGCATCAGCAGAGCTCACTCCAAATGCAGTTTCAGAGGCATGCGTTTGCAAGTTATTTTGACCCTCAGAAATCGACACTTGATATGAAGCATACAATGCCTTTGTTGTCTCATCCTCACTGAAGTCACAAGAATTCATCCCAGGCAGCCAATTAAGCATGACACACAACCATTTCTCTGGAAGTTGCTCTGGCTTTAAGCCAGTAGGTAGAAGCCTCCATTTCTGGCATCTGTCGCAAGCTACCCAATCTTCTGCAATAAGTTGAGGTGCTGCCATACTGTGTCAAGCATCGTGATCCAAAATAATTGCATATTGTAAGCTTCTTGCCTATAACCAGTACTATACAGTTTCAGATACTGCAAAAGCGTCCTATGACTCAAGTCTTTGTCCAAAATACCAACAAAAATTGTGGGTACAGATGTGTATAGCACATAATAGAATACACTACTCCAATCTGTTAATGCAGAAGTTGTAGAAAAAGCCGTGCATAATATATACCAAAATAACATCAACACAAAGACAACATTGCGGTAGAAGTTGTACAAAAATAAATAACCGACACGCTGGTAATTCCAGTGTCCATGAACAAGAAGTAATCTTTTCAAGAACTGAAATTGCCCCATAACAAAATCTGATGCCATCACTGCTTGACGTCCTTCCTGCCCATATATTCCAACACCAACATCTGCCATTTGGATCATTGACACATCATTGGCCCCGTCACCTATGGCCAGTGTCATATCATCTGTGCGGCTCTTTATCAGATCAACAATTCCAGCCTTCTGCAAGGGTGCAACACGGCAACAAAGTACAACCTTACAGGAAATTGCAAGGTCAAAGAGCTCTGACTCCCGTTCCTTCTCCAAAATATAAACCAAACTATTCCCATCAATTACAAGTGCCAATGGAGTATCAGCTCCTTCTTCCTTTCCTAGATTCCATTTGGGCAAACTCATTGACTTTGAACAATTAGGAATATCAAGTGCGCCATGTTCAGCATTGGTTTTATGCTTCAGATTCTGGTGCCCTCTACTTGAACATCTCACAGCATATTTGGCTATTGCATCACCCAAAAGATTTCTGCATTCCTCCTCTGAAGTGCCGTTTATAACAATTTGTTGCATATCTGCACTGAGAAGTTTGCAGGAAAGACCAATTGAAATTGCCGTCTCTTGTTTATCATCGGTAAGAACCCAGACCTTGATTCCAGCTTGCCGTAGGGACTCAATGGCTTCTGGTACACCCTCTTGCAGCTTGTCTTCAATTCCAGTTGCTCCAAGTAGATTTAAATTTCATTCTATAAGAGCTACAGTTTGACGTAGTTTAGTAGCTCTGTCAGTTAACGCGGTGCTAGCCTCTCCATACCTGCTTTGCCACTCCTCAAGTTCAGCATCAGATAGACTTCTAGAGGCAACCACAAGGGTGCGCAAACCTTATGATGAGTATTCACTCAGATGGCTCTGAGTTGCATGCAATAAGCTACTGTTGCTCTCACTGACATTTTCCAAAACGCTAAACATTGATGTATCAGCGCCTTTGACAAACACCTTTACCACATTGTCAGGAAACCGAATAACAACAGACATTCTCTTTCGCACACTGTCAAATTCGTGCAGGCCCAACACATCCAACCTGAGTTTCTCACCGTTGATGTCAATAACAATATGTCCAGATGTCCGCTCAAAAAGAGTGTATCCATATGCAGAGGCCGCAGAAACTAGAGCTTGTTCATCAGGGGATTCACCCTGATAATCAATGCATTCTACATATCCATTTGATTCACTTGTTCCACAACCAGAAAATCCACCATCAGTAAGTATAGGAATCATAGTATTACAAGCAGCCAATGTAAGAAAAAACTCATGAGCAGCTATTCTTTCATCTCTATTTTAGTTTCTATGCAGCATGGTCATTAGTTGGGGATCAACTGCAATTTCAGATTTGAGCTTCCATCTCCGTTTTGGAATAACAGCTGTTGCTGCTGAACTATCATCAGTAGTAACCAAGGAGCTCCCATAATTCTTCCCATGTACACTAGCCCTCCGGAATTCCATCTTGTTTTCTGTTAGTGTTCCTGTCTTGTCTGAAAATACATAACGTATTTGACCCAAATCTTCATTTATATTTAATGATCTACACTGAAACCTTGATCCAGAGCTAGGGTCATACATATCCATGTCTTCAATCATGAAGTATGACTGGCCCAACCTAACCAACTCCATTGTGATGTAAAGAGATATGGGTATCATTATCTGAAACACTATAACAGAACTCAAAAAGGAGAAAAATGTTTCCATTGGTATCCCATAATACTTATATTTCTTTCCTTTATATGGGCCATTGTTGAGGTATGTTTTTCTGTAGTAAGGCAAGTGTGGGCCAAATGGATTTGAATAGCTTCAAACAGTTCTTCAGTTTCAGAGAATCTCCATTAAGAGCAAAGTGATACTGCAACATATTGATTGATTTTCTAAGGAGACTACAATCAGTAAGATAGAGAAGCTCTTGAACAGATGATGGGACAGATTCTCCATACTCTTCCTCAAATATGTCTTTGGATAAAAAGCTCTTCCACTGACTAAAACCTTTTAAAAGGATTTTTGAATAGAAGTACAGGATCTTTTTAAAAGCTCTGTGACTCAGATCCCCAAATCTCTCCAAAATTAACCTCAAATACGATAAAGAGGTCGGAAAAAGTGATATAAACTGATCTTCTGAAAGACTAAGATCAAAAGCTTCGGCAACCCCAACATCATGATCTAAACTTCTCTTCACTATGCCCAAAAATAAAATGCCCAAATATAGATGAATGCAGAGAGTCTAAGCCAGATAGAAGAAATTAGGAGGGCAAAATTTGGGGTGCAACAAGGATAAACCGTCATATTTAGCAAATGTAGGCACCTTGAACTTGGGGGGAATGACGATCCCAACAACCAACCCTAGTTCTTCAAAATCCAACCCATGTACCCTTTGTACCTCCATGGCTGCCAACCGATCTTCCAGATTTTTATACTTATCGTCCGCCGGAGGGTACTGCTGCTCAGAGTAATCTTCATCCTCTTCTTCTTCTTCCTCTTCAGCCTCAGATTCGGAAGGTACTGCAGCTCTTTTTCCTTTACCAACCCCTTCGTCAGACGTCGAGGGGAAATCCAGGACCCTCCTAGCTTGGTTCTCAAATCTTCTTCCCATAGTGGCCACACCAATTCTTTTCTTTTTATTCTTTTCTTTTTCCTTCTCTTTCTCTAACAGTGCTTTAAGATCCTCTTGACCCTTTGCCAAGATCATGAGGAGTTGTTGGAATTGCGAATTCTGTGCTTGCAAATCTTTGACCGTCTGCTCTATATCCATCTTGCTGAAATAAACAGCAGAAAGATAAGGAAACCAGGTGTGAAGACCTGTTTATGCATATGATGAATGATATGTATTCATGTAGTGCATTCAAGGATTCAAAAATTCAAAGTTGTTGCAAACAAAAAGAATACACGTCATATTAATAAGAAGAAATTTGTTAGTACATAAATGCCCCATGGGCAAAATATTACAAAATTCTTAATGTAAAAAGACGTTGCGCATCCTCTTTGGTGCGATGTAAGTGTTGAGATTCTGCTCTTCGTGGAGTTGACGAGTAAGTTCCAAAACCTTCTTCTCACTGGCGTAGAAGCTAGCTTCAAAAGTGTTTCGTTCTTCCTTGAGCTGTATCCAACTCTTTTGCAAATCTTCCAATGATGTTGGCATGTCTGGATGTAGGAGGGTGTATGGAACCTCTCCTTCCACAACAGGCTCTTTGATCACGGGGAGAATGTGGGGGTAAGGCATCATAAGACTCTGGGCGCGGGTTCGTACCCACTTGAGATAAGGCTCAAGGGGGATGGAATTCTTGTGCCCTAGTGTCTTACTATCCACTTTGTTGGGCATCCTCCAAGCTCGGATAAACCTTTGTCAAAGTCCTTGAGCATCGTTGTCGAAGTCAAAAACCAAGTCCGGAATCAGCATGTCATGAGGGCCATCCCTTCGGGCATACCCAAATTGTCTCAGAGCTAAACAGGGGTTGTACGTAATGCCTCCCCTAATGCCAAGTAGTGGGACATTAGGGAATTCCCCACAACGATCAATGATGATGACATTTTCTCTAGACCAAGAACACCAATGAACATCATAATGTGTGAGGGTCATCAACCGTTGTGACCACCTTAAACCCTGCTCATTCTTCAAAACTGATTGAGGAAGGTGAGAAATAAACCACCTTGCTAGAAGAGGAGTACAACACATGAGAGCACCTCTTTTCCTCATTGTTCGTGTGTGAAATGAGTGTAAGATGTCCCCAAGCAATGTAGGCACATGATTCCGAGATATGAAAATCTTGACAGCATTCACATCTATAAGCTGATCAGGGTTTGGGAACAAGACCAACTCATAGATGATAAGTGCTACAATCTCCTCAAAAGCTTGCAGATCTAGAGAATTCCAGCAGTCTTGTGCCTTCTCAAACATAAACTTTACCAAGAAACCCTTGACACCACTTCTGGTTTCCCAATGACCTTTGATATCAGATGGTTGCAAGTGTAAGGCTTGGGCAACATCTTCAGGCTTTGGTTCTCTTTCTGTACCGTTGTAGGGTAGTTGATGGAGAATAGGAATCCTCAGGAGTTGAGAAAATTCCTCCAAAGTAGGTACTAGTTGGTAATCAGGAAATGTAAAGCAATGGTGTAGGGGGTCAAAGAACTGAAAGAGGACTTTCACCATGTCTTCTTCAATGTTGGAGCTGACCAAGTTGAGAAGTCTACCATGTCTTTCACTAAAGGGAGAATTCTATGGAATCTTGGAAGCAAGCTCCTTGAGTTGAGGAGGGATTCTCACAAGGTTGACTTGAATTATTTTCCTGCGAAGAGATTCCATGACCTACAAAACAAGAACAAAGATGAAGATCCAAACCCTTGAAATGGTTAGTGGATGCAAATGATGCTTTATGATGTTCATGATGTATGCACAAATATATGTACAAGCAAATCACACAAGATCCTAGTTTCAGGCTTGCATGGGGTTTCATAGGTAAGTACCCTCTTGAAGCTAGTTGGCTCAACCTGTCCTATAAATAGTAATCGGGTTCTAAGGAACTCAATATCTTTGGATTATTTTCTATGTTCATTGTTTCAGTTTAGCCACATAACTGCCGACCGAAATATTCCAAGAAAACAATCCTCAATGAGTGTAGTATCGAGTATCTACCAACTTCGGACTGCACCAAATCCGGTCATATCACTACCCCTAATAAGGCCAAGATGGTCAAGTAAGGTTCTAAGAGTTCATTAGTGCTTCATGACATCACTCAGCGGCCCCGTATTCTCTTTGATTGACTCAAAGGCTACCAGTACCCACAAATATGTCGCACTAATATAGCTATTGCTTCAACCATGTCGGTATACCCCACTGTTGTACCCCAAAATTTGCCCTCCCATATTCCTCAAGATATGTCAAGAATAATCTCCAAATGGTTCAAGATTGCTCAAGAGTTAGACAGTCAAACCATCTCCTAAGCAGTAGACAACTGAAATTAGGGTTTTGGTTCTTTCAAGGGATTTGGGGTTCTCAATGGTTCAATCAAGTCTCATAGGCCTATATACATTCTCAAGCACCTGCATGCCAAGTTTTAAGACTCACAGTGCCAGTTTGCACAGTCAAAAGCTCCATTTGATCTACAGTCAACTACAAGGGCAAAATGGTCATTTTGCAGTCAAAAGTCTGAATTCTTGGTCAACATCTTATTTTGAGTTCACAATCATCATTTGATCAAGTCTTGATCATGATCCCACAAGAATAGCTCAAAAATCATCAAGATGCAAAAGTTACTATTTTTAGACAGCAAAAAAGTCAACTGTACTTTGACAAGGGCATAACTCTTTCATGGTTTATCAGAAAAATTCAATCCAAAGCTCATTTTGAATAGGATGCAATTTCCTACAATCCATCTTCACACCCTAAGATCAAGAAATGCTCTCACAAAAAGTTACAAATTTTTACATTATAGGTCAATTTCAAAAGTCAACAAAAGTACACTTTGAGTCAAAGTCCATAACTTGAGATTGGTAAATCCAAATGACATGGGACCAAAATCATTGGTTAGAGGACTTCAAGGGCTTTCCAAAATGTCCAAGAACATGGTCATATGATCAAAATTGAGCAAGTTATGCATTGGAGAAGTTGGGCAATTTTCATGAATTTGCAAAAGTCAACTTTGCTCAAAACACCTTCTTTTTGCTAATGGGCCTCAAATCTCTTTTTGAAACTTCATCCATGACCTATGCACGACCCACCAAATTAAATTGGATTTATTTTCTTAAATTTATTGATTAAATGGATTTTTAATATATATTAATTCATTTAATTAATTTAAATTATAAGAAAATAAAAGATTTGATTCTTAAATCTATTTGTGAACCAAATGTGATCCAAATATGCTGACCAAGAAATGCAAATTCGTGCACAAGCTAAAAGATAAAAAAATATCCAATTTTGGCAACTTGTTCAATCATGAAAAATCAAGAATATTTGATTTGTCAATCAAAGATTCAATCTTCAATGCACATGGATATGGGTCCAAATTTTGACCTAAACTGATTCCCTTGTATGCAAGCAAGCCAAGCATAACCTAATTCACGAGAAAAAACTGCAAGAGACGGCCATACCAATTTCAAGAAACTTCAAGAAAAATCAAAACTTGTTCTTGCAACCTAGGCCAATTCAAGGTGCCTTGTCCATCCAAACACATTGCAGGAGGTACCAGGAGTGATTTGCAATCAAATTCAAGCACCAAAGCTCAAGGAATCACGAA